CGATATGGTTCCCAGTTTATATTTCTTATGACTCTGCTGACTGTTCCTTTTAATTGTTTACAAGTAACGTTTCTTATCTCATACGCGACATTCTGGTCTGCTGTATAAACACTGTTTGCTAATTTCTTTCGATCAGTTAAATACGTGTCCTTGGTGGTAACACCACGTACGGAAATTTGCTAATACGCTTGGTAATAATTTCAAGTGAATACATTTCATAACAATTTGAGTAATTCGGTAATTCTTATGACTGAATTAATTCTTTCAATTAATTTTACGATCGCCTGATCGAAATTCATCGGATTTTTATTTATGGGGGCACCTAAAGTCTTTGGTTTGCAACACACCAGTAAACAATATTGAGGAACTGTGATGTCGTGTTATTAATAATAATAAAATTATTAACCCTTTCCAGTTAGTCCGCACTCGTTTGGTCACTCTCGGGCAGTGCCATGTAGTTTCCCTTTATTTCAATATTTCAGCGTGGTATTAGTTACAAAATACTAAGTTTCAGTATAATACTAATATTCAATATATAATTTATCATTGTATGATATCTGAAGGCGAAAATTTTTATGTCGAGTCTAGCTAACAGGCAAAGGGTTAAATAACAGGTATCATACAAAAAAGGCTATAATTCTAAAACAAGAATTATAGAATTTTTTGCCTATTTTAGCGTACCGAAACACCCTGTATACAATTAAAAAATTAGAACGAACCCTGACACGTTGCAATTATGAGTCACAGTGGAACGATAATTCAGCTTATCGACGAAAGAGAAGTTTTTCGTAAGCAACAACGAGAGCGACAGAAAATGATTTCCAGAGCGATTAAAAGAGACCCGAGAGTCAGCTATGGTTTATGGTGTATTCCCGTGCCTTTCTCCGCGATCGTTGGAGTATAAAAAAAATCAGAGGTCGAATCCCGGTTGCGATTGTGATGGCCCTATGGAAAATGGTCAGGAGGCGAAAGGAAGAACAAAGGGGTCTCTATCGGACACGGGGAACGATAAACGGTAAAACAGATGCTGTGGGGAAACAATGGCATATTTAGCCGTGCCGTTTGTGTATCCACGATGCACGCGTGCGCCACGAAAATTCTCGATATTGCCTTCGAAACACCCCCTGTACGTCAGAGAAGCCAATGCCTCGTTTCCGTATTACCGCGATCACGTCCATGTTTTCGGAAATGAAAAGTTTCCTGGCCGAAGTGGACACCCCTGAAATTTGCCATTCGACCCTGCATCGCGCCGGTAAAGTGGCTCGTTTAAACAAGCGGAGGAAACACACGGGGAAATTGCATCGTTCGAAATCATCGGAGAAACGCGTTCCGTGAGGGATTTAAGGAGGGGTGTGATATTCTTTTGGAAAAGTTCTGCTACCTTTTTTGTAGAATACTAAATACATACTGCTTCTTTGTCTTGTAATTTGTTTGTTAGTGTCGCTTTAGTTATTCTTGTTTGAGGGTGTAAAATTTGCAAGGGAAGCTTGCTAACTGGGAAATTCAGAAAATTTGAAACTTTGCTGAAATTTAGTTCGATTGATGTTAATTGCTGAAATATTTTTTCTCTACAGTGAAATGGCCCCAGAGTTTTCATATTATCGCGAATATTCGAATTTTTGAGTGAATATTTGAAATTTGAAACGTTGCAGAAATATTTTTTATTTCGGCGCCAGAGTTTTCATATTTAATGTGGTTTTTGATGTACTAAACTCTGTGTTACTGAAGAATTTTCAAACGTTACTTTTTTCAAAATTTACCGCCACCGGTCTTAATTTTAAAAATTGTTTTTGAATTTTTCGCGTACTGAATTCTGATTTCTTTCCTTTTTTTTTAAATGTAATACTGAGAAAATGGGAACGAATTGAAGATGACTAGCTAAAGTTGGGAGCGATGGTTTGGATCTCGAAAACAATTTTCGTATGACGAAGTTATGAAAGTTTGATGACATCTTAGATTTGTCACGTAAAGAGAAGAGCACGATATTCGAGAGTAGTATTGATTCGTCCTAAAGTTTCACGAGAGAGTACAAATAATTAAATGATTTTCGAACATGGATAAAGGAACGAATGTTGCAAGAGTAATTATCGATTCTGTTACAATTTTTCGATACGTGTACATTAAAGAATATACAATTCTGTAACGCGAATTTTCCACGGTAGTTATTAACGATAATTTAAAATGAATTCAAGCCATGTGTCGGGAAATGTACGTATCATAAAAAATTATTTACTTCTATCCGAAATTCAGTAAAATACGCTATTACCGAATATTTGCAAAATTCGAAACTAATGAAAATTGATTCCATTAATTTCTAAATCTCAGAATATTCCCTATTAACCAGATTTGTCTAAATTCGTCCTACATCGCTCAGCATTTTCATATTTGTCACAAATCTATCAACCGAAGATCGTCAAAACTGACTAAAAGATCGGATTTCAACACTCAAAAGTGATTCTTGACTCGGTGAAAACCTCGCGAACGATCTTTCAACGATATTACTCAGCCTGTACAAATTTTAGAGCGACGAATTTTGAATAATAACCTACTAACTTCGCTCCAGACGCGAACTTACGAATCTACTCGCGGAATCTTCGAAGAAAATTCAACGGCGAGAAGATAAATTTCCAAGGGGCCATTGATAACGCCCTTCTAAAAGAGCATTGAAAGTTAACAGTCGGAATAATTAGACGGGAATTGAAATAATTGCCATTCGAAATCGATTTTCTCCGCGAACGTGTAGAACACTGATCCCGTTTAAGGGATATAACCGCGAACTACCATTACCAAAATCTACAAAGTAATTACGTGGCGCTCGGTTGAAATAGAACGATGAATCTGGGCACAATAGACGGTACTGTTAATCCAGCTTCTAATTACACATAAAACCGACGGTTTCCAACCTGCAGTCTAAACGGAGATACCCGCCAAGCCTCCGTTAGTTATTTCTAATAATACTCAGAACGGTGTGCCTATCGAATTGCTACACTCACGTTTTATCGCGTCTCACACTGTACAGTTATTAAACGTTGTGCACAAAATATCGTGAAATCTAAATTTACGTTGCGTTGATCGTACAAAGGGTCTTTGAAGAAGGGAAAACTTTGAAAGAGCGAGGAAATACTTGATAGAAACATTGTAGAAACTCCTTCGGTTCCTTGTCAAAGCTAATCGTATTTATTTTCTGTGTATCAAATTTTTTCATTTCAAGAAATTTCCCAAAAATGGAAAATTTGGTGAAGATTTTATTTCATTGACTAGAAACGAGTATCGGTATTATAGTAGGATTAAAGATTTAAAAAACAGTCTGTTTACGAAACTATTAGGCCATTCTGAGAGTTCCCTCGGTTTTGAGCCGTTCATTTTGAAAATCATAATTACACTGGAAATTGAGTATTTTCGTTTCAAATAATTTCTATACTGTTCGGTAGACTTTCGCATTTTTAAAAATCCGAATCTCTAAGAGAAAGAAAGTCCCTGAATCAACCCTAATTTACACTTTCACCTCAATTTAATCCTTCATTGTCATCTTTCGCGCGCCTTCACTTTAATTTAATAAACAAAATTCGGGAACGATACATTTTAAAATTTACAAAAAATTTAAAATCCCCAAAACGAAAGATTTCGCGTGCTCAATTAAACATGTGTCATCTGTCACTCGCGTTGCTTACTAAACTCTCCCACAGCAAAAGTGTCAGTTCAATTCCAACGAAATTACGTTCCTTTTCCCTTTTTTCCAAAACGAACGACTCAACATCGCGTGAACTTTCGCAACGACCCCGGCTACATACTGATTAGCAGCAACACGCGGCAAAATTGAACCGGCTAAACTAGCAAGACCTTCTCATTCGGTAATATACAAGGGTTGCCGGTGAAACTGATGGCGAGCCTAAACGATGATTGATGCGGCCGTAAGTGTATGGCGTGTGGCGTCCGAGTGCAACCAACGAACATTTCCGTTTCGTTGATGCACCCTGCACGTCTCTGACCGGTACACACACGACGACGACGACGGGGTCGTAATATTAATGATTAGTCTTTGTTCGTTTTAACGTCATACCTTCGACGAGCATGCACAGCAAGGCGGATCGATCGTGCGTGGAGAATTTGCGTATTCACAGCTGTGTGTGCCTATGTATATGTGTACGTGCAGCAACAGGGTGTATGTTTGTGAAAGCGTGTATACACATGACTATTCGTACCTGTTCGTCAGGCTGTGCATTTTTTTTCTACGTTTATCGAAGCCTTGTTTTTCACGGCAATACCATTCTCTCGCTACAGTGGGAACGAAAAAGAACGCAGTGTCTAATTACGAACAGGATCGCTTTTAGTGTTCATTGCTCTCTCCGCGCGGTGCACGAAAGAAATTAAATTGTATCACTTTTTCTCTCTCTCTCTCTCTCTCGTTAGAATCGATAGAAACACGCGTGAAATTTACTTGTAAATTAACGACTTCTTTTTTTTAAATTAAATCATGTGGCTATTACTGCAATCAGGTTCTTATCTTTTAATTCTCGAGTTAGAACGATTTTGCAATTCTATAGATGAATAGAAATCGATCGTAGAATGACGATCATTGCACCGCTGCTTTCAACTCTAAAAAAAAAAAAAACAAGGAAAAACGTATCTACCTTTCTTCTTAATAATAGAAACACATGCAGGAAACAATCAACAGGGTGTTATATACTTGTCGAAATAAATATACAAGATGGCATGCATAAAATAGGGAACGTTTAATTAAATTGTCGTGCTACTCGAAGCAAAAAACACTTGCAGAAAGGACGTTCTGTCTATTGCAACTCACTTAACTCGCACTATCGATCGTACAACGAACAAATCTTTCGTGTTCAACAAATACAACACGTAGAATTTTCATGAATTTTTTGCTCTGGTATTGTGTGCGGTGTGCGTGTTACGTAGAGAGAAAGTCTTTTATGCGTTCTGTACAACGTTCTTTTTTTTTTTTTTTTTTTTTTTTAAGTTGGTGTTTGAAAACTTACAACGTCGATTATTTGCATTAGTGTAAGGCCAAAGCTCAACACGAGGGGCTCCGACTCATTGCCAACCGGACGCTCCAGCACGTTGTATGTATCCAGCAGGTCGCTTAGCAGCCGTTTCTCGTGAGAACCGCCGTTTACCAGCCCTGACCAATTATCAGTTTTTTTCAGTCATCTCTATGTTCACTGACGGAATTTCAGGCACTTTGAGCCAGCGCGACCACGAGACTCGTCTGCTCCGAGTTCTTCCGCGCTCCACGCTTGCGTTCTTTCAGAGAAATATTGCCGTACTCTGGGTTTGCAATTGGTAGGTACACAACACAGCTCGGAAGATCAAAATGCAAAAGCTCGAATGGATACTGCAAGTCTGTCGACGAGAGATCAGTTTCTAATTGAATTTTCTTGGTTCTTTTACTCCACTAGTCGAGGACAAAAGAGTTTGTCAGTGGTATTGTATCGTTTTTGTTTGGAGAGGTGTGTGAACCAGAATTTTTGTAGACAGCATTGCGTACGTGGAACACGGAGATGTTAGTCGGCGTGGTTCAAAGTGTACATGTTCAGATCTACATTGCCCTTTCTTTAACAAGAATGTGTAGAAACACGAGAGATTGTGAATTTTGAAGGAAGTTTAATGTGAATTTAAGTATCGGGGCTTTCGCAGCCTTGGTTATTGTCATCGAAGTTTAAGAAGTGTAAGCTTCTTAGATGATAAGTATGAATTTCTTTTGGTTATCGTATCGTTTCGTTTCACTCACTTATCCTCTACGATCACATTCTTGCTTAAGAAGTGGGGCAACAGTTGGAGGTCTCCAGATATCCGTGGGTCTGTTTATCGCGTACACTTGCATGGGTGAATTTACAAATGACCTGTGAATAGAAAGAAGCAATTGACAACCTCCTACGAAACCATTAAAACCTTGAAATTTTCATAAATGTGCCTTTCAGATGTTCGACGAACATCGATTACATGTGTACACGTGTGCATGTGTGTATGATAAAAATGGTAATTAAAGAAAACACAAAAAAACAGGAAGGAAAGAATACAAATTTCCGTATTTCGTGTGCAAAAAAAGAAAGAAAGATTGTTCGTTCACGGTGTGGTTGCGCAATAGGGAATATTCAAAGACCATGTGTATGGGAGCGTGTATTTCAGCCTCGCGAACGTCGGATATCAAAGAGACTGGACAATTTTCGCAGACCTATTATCGGCGACTGGCCCTCGTCCTATCGATGTCGTATCGTTTCGTGTCGACGGAAAGAAACAAAAGAAAAAGGAAAAGTAACGATGATACAAATTTCTGTCGAGTGTCTTAGAGAACGTTTATCTACTTTCGATTTATCCCCCAAGCTCCCCTCTCTCTCTCTCTCTCTCTTTCTCTGTGTTCAGTCGCTTTTAGGAGTCACCCCACGGTGAAGTTCTGGACTACTTTTCGCGAATATACAACTTCGTAATCTCTTTCCACCCGGGTTCTCTATCCTCCCCCCTGTCTCTGTCTCCCTTTTTGTTTCCTCCTCTTGCCCGATGCCCGTGCCAATTTTCCCTCTCTTTCCCGCTTTCTATTAGCCGCAGGACTCCTTTCGATATCCTGTTTCGCGAGACAGGACGTATTAACCCCTTGACGCTCGTGGATTGCGTCTTACACGTGCTCGAGTGTAAAAAGTGCAATTTTCTCTGATTAGTTTCGTTCGTCTCTCTGCAGCGCGCTGTCCTTTTTATTGGTATGGTAAAAGTGGAAGTTGCAGCGTTAACAATAAATTTCCCATTTGGGAATAGTGTAATTTGGAAATTTAGAAATAAATGGGAAATTTATTTCTGTACGACTGGGAAGTAATTTGAAAGTAAAGAAAATTGAGTATTTTTGCCACGTCGAGTTGAGAAAAACGTGAGTGTTGAAGGGTTAAGGACTCTGTGATTTAACTTGCCGCGTGTTTCCATATTCGGGAATGAATTGAAATTGCGAATTTTAAATTTTCGACGAATTAGATCCAGAGAAATTGAGGTGTATTAGAAAACTTCAATTTTTTAATTACTGTAATAACGTGTCAGACTCGTGGCAGAGAAAAGAGAATTAGTCGTAATCCTAACTTTCGTTTTCATTTGTAAGACTGAAGATTGCCAAGTGTAATGAATCTCTAACAAATTAGCTTTGTTACCTGATGAAAATTAAAACGAAAAGAGTCAATGACTGACGCTTAGATGCCTAATCAGAGAAGAAATCATAAGTTAAGGGGTTAAGTGACAAGTAAAAGGACCTCAACCCTCTACTGTCGAGGCGGAGTCTCATCTTTTTTCTCTTCTGCCATTCTATTTAGAAATCAACGTTACTATATTAAAGTGAAATTAATACAACCAGCCACTCTATTCTATAACGTTCGTTAGGAAAACGTGTAATAAAGGTAAATCGGTAAGAAAAGTTGTCAGAAATGTTCTGTATAAACGTATCGGGCGTTACGTCCCAAAAACGGTGTCTCGATAGCAGAGGGCTAAATCGATCGCCATTTCTTGTCAAATAAATATACAGAAGACGAGATAAAGAATGAAAAAAATGTCCAATAACTCGGGTAATAAATTGCCGAAAAAATGATCTCGGGGTGAAAATTTCACGAATGTCGTTCGGCTGCCTGATAGGACAGAGTTGACATTGGACATGGCTATTAATTTCAGCGGAGCATGTATCTTCGATTGTTACGGTTTTGCCTTTCAAGCCCTTTCGGAAGCAATTCGAATCACGAGAATTCCATTCCTCGAGGGAAAATTCCGCGTACCGCCGATACGTCGTTGCATTTGGCACACTGCGACCGATATCGTTAGCATTCGCGTTTACAATTACAATGTGGAACGGCCGACATTCGTATTGTCGCGTGTACAACCGTATGTTCCCGGTGTCGATATGAAACTACACTCTCTCATTGGAATGCAAGAGTAAAATCCAAATTTTAAATCGCCTCGACGCGCGACAGGGGCAGAGAAAAATTCGATTAACCATCGCTGCACCCGTTTCGTGTAATTACAGTCGAATATAGTTTGCTCGGTGTTTAAGCTTGGAAAAATAGGCTGTGACTTTTCTTTTTATGGATACAGAGATTTTATAGATTCGTCGAAACGCTATGAAAATAATTCTAGAATTCGCAATAATTTCTATGTTTGAGAATAATTTGTAGCAATTAACCCTTTGCACTCGACAACCTTTCTGCTACTTGCTTGTGCCAAAAAAATTCATATTTAGAGCTCGTTTGGCGAAAAAATTGAGGAAATTTTGTAAAATTAACAGAGAAATGTGCCATACGTTTATTAACTAATATAACTATTTTATTTCAATGCTTAATTTATTTTTATTTTATACCAGTTACTTTATATACCCAACACCTTTTATTTTATACCCAAATTATTTCACTGTCTAGACATTCATTGGAAGGTCAATAACCCGATGTTCTTTAAAATATCAGCTTTAACAGAGACTCGATTAATTATCCACCATCTGATAGAACAATAATGTCGCTTCTCAGTCGTCGCTCGAGTGCAAAGGGTTAATATCTTGAAAACATTGCAATCGGTGAAACGTGTGTGTGTAATCAGAAACGAGTTGTTGGAGAAATAATAAAGAACGACGAATAAAAGACGACTCTCACGAGTAGTGCACGCATAAGCGTCCGAATGCGGACGCTTAAGTGGAGAGGTGACTTCTGAGTGGGATACCGATATATCAAGCGTCAGTTGTTCCCATTCAGGAGTCGATATCGAATAGTTTGTTTCACTCGGCACGCTCCAACTCCGCTCCGAAGTCCCATTTCCAAGAATTGGTGGGAATAGCGACGGACGCTTATGTGTGCACTACTGTATTTTGCAGAAGAAAATGAATTTCCTCCTACAATGGGACCTTCTGGTTTTCTCCCTTTCTTAATTCGACAAACAAAATCTAAGGATACTGTTGAAGCTAAACAGCGAAATATTTGTCGTCCATTGTTGCCAGAAAACGTGCCGGGTAATTGGATTCACGAATGCGAATTGAATATGTAAAGCTAGTTAAAGAGCAGAAGCTTGCCGCTTCGGGAAGAGTTTCAGCGGAATCGTTCTGCAGGACATGCCCCGACTTTGCGAATCGACGAGAGTTCTCCGGGTTAAGAGAAAAGTGTCTCGAATTAGGAAGATTTGTCCAGTGCCATTTTAGAGATTTATCTCCTCGAAAATACGTCACGATGCTGCTTTTATCTCTCCTGATTTTTATCGTTCTCTGTCCAATCGAATCTTTATTTCACGCCCAGTTTATTTCTATGTACACAACGGAATTGTAAAACTCCGTACCTGTGACGAGAATGTCCATTTTCGCGACCATTCGGGGTAATTAAAATGGGGAAATGCAAATTTGGCAACCTACTTAATTTTCATTTCTACGGCGAGAGGGGGAATAATTTAGAATCGAGGTTGACGGTGGAATACGAAGGATGTGATGGTTTTTATTTTTCTCTCCCTGTCTTTCTTTTTTTTAATGGAGAAGAAAAATGCTATTAACGCAGTCGAACTATTTTCACGCCGATAATTTTACCGCAGAATGAAGTCCGTTTTCAGTGAATGCGCCGTTCCACTGGACGAAACAATAGGGCGCAATCGACCCATTTTCATTAACACGATCATATTTCATAAGATGCATTTCATAAATGCGGCATTAGTAAACAGGAAATGAACGGCAGACAAATTTTTTTCTTGATTATTTCTTGATTGTTCCAGCTGCGTTTTTGAAAATGCAGGTTTCCGAATCTGCTTCGCGATTTTTTCCAAAGTTTTTCAATTTCTGTCCAATATTGAGCGAACTTGAAAATTTTTTTAAGTGTCACATGTTGACTATTGTTGTTTTCGTTACTTTCAAATTATTATTTTATTCGAGAAAATGAATTGATATTTACTAGGTCGAATTTTTCATACTAACGTTGAAATTTCTATTTTCAGCAATTTTTTCAAGTTTAAACATTGAAAACAATTACGCTAATATCCCGATTATTCATCGCGTCAGATAATAATGCCCAAATAATTGATTTATGAATTTTTCCACTACTCGATACACGTCTTCTACAGAAAATTCCTTCTGCTTAACTATTGTGTGCAAACATTGACGAACGGACAAAATGAAATAAAATTTCATTTGCGCCA